TAGGATGTAGTGCTTTGTGAATTCCAAAGCAGGATACAAGGTGGCAGCAGGGGTTGTCTGTATGGTACCTGGGAAAGGGTCACCACATTCTCTTTCATCTCCTCCCATTATAGACCAACAAACCGGTCTATAAAAAGAGTGCGCTGACAGGAATTAGTTTAGGAAGCTCCAAGATAAGGTTTTAATTTACTCAAGGGTTCCTTCTGCAAGATTCACAGCAGCGTGAGTTGCTATGCATCGGCTTTTCTGGTGGTCCTGGAGGGAAGGGATTCCATAATGCAAGAAGCAGGATGATTCAAAAGGAGTACTTCTTCTCAAAGAAGAAAAAATAAGTATGCAAAACCCTCTCTTGTCCCCCAAGTTCTTCCACAGCTAGGATACTTCTCCCTCCTCTCTTTTTCTTCCCAGTTTCTTGAAAGTCGTCCCTTATACTTTCTGACTCCATTTCTCACCACCCATTCCTCTCCCACAGAAGCAATCTGGTTCCACCCCAGCTGCAACTGCACAGGCAGAGGTCACTGACAGTTTCCTTATTGCTAAACCAGAGACTTCCCACTCCCCACCTGACCGACACTCAGCAGCATGTGACCTATTGACCACCCATTCCTTGCACTGTTCTCGTGAGTTCACTGGCAGTCTCTTTGGTGTTTCTCCTTTATCTCTGGATGCTCCTTTCAGTCCCCTCTACAGGCTCGCCTTCCTCTGCCCACATCATAAATGAAGGTACTGCTCCACTTCCCCCATAACCTTTTAAAGAAGTTCCTCTTCTGCCTGTGATCTTCCCATTCCTGTGGCTTCAGCTACAATCCACGTGGTAGATCAGGAACAGACTGTTCTCCTGGGCTCTAGGCTCACATATGCAACTGCCTGTGGTTGTCCCCTGACTCCTAATATGCACAAAACCAAACTCCTTGTCTTACCCTCAACTGGCGCCTCCCCCTGCCATTCTCTGTATGGTGAAGGCTATCATCTACTCCAGAAAGATGAACTTCACCCTTAACCCTTCCGGCTCCCTCACCTACAACCACTCCAGATCGGCAAGTCACATTGATTCCACCTCTACAGGATGTGCCAAATCTATCCATTTCTCTCCTTTGTTACGGTCTTAGTCCAGACCCAGCTTTGCCTTCCGCTAATCCGTTTGCCACACCGCAGCCAGAGTGGGCTTTCTGAAATTAAAACCCTGTTATCTTCTGGATAAACCATACACTCCTTGCCACTGCCTTTAAGAGCTCATGGCCTCTTACCTTCCTGGGCTCATCTCTTTCATCTCCCTCCCCACATCCCAGCCTGCAACGCACAGGCGCACAACTTGGCTAATTTTAATTCAGCCTTCAGGTCTTTGCTGAGGTATCACTTCTTCCCTGACCGCCTCGACATCCATTTTGGACCCCCCTCTTATGTGTTCCTGCAGCACCCTGATTTCCTCAATTAGAATACTTCTCATGCTGTGTAAAATGGCCCAGTTACTTGACTGTCTCCCCCATCAGACTATGAGCTTCATGAAGGCAAGAGTGTGCCTATTTTGCCCAAGACTGTATTCCTAGCTCCAGGCACAAGAGCTCTGTGCCAGAGCACAGAGAAGTGCTCAGTTCTTACTTGTTTAATCTACGAATCAATGAATCATTAAGGGTAGAAGAGAAATTGTTCTGGAAAAGTTAAAGTGCTGATAAAAAAGGATCAAGGATACATGGGAGGAGATCATTTAGCTAATTTCCTGGAGCAGAAAAACTGCTGGTTACATTTCTGACATTTTCTAACCCATAATACATGTTCCCTATTCTGTGACCGAAAATCTATATTTATAATCACATATACAGACCACAAGATGAAGTGGATATTTAGCAAATTCCAAGTTAGATAAATTTCCAAAAGTAAACTAGATAAGGCAGAACAGGGCAGCTTTAGTTTGTACTGAATTATAAATTGGTCACACTAATCAAGATAACTGAACAAATAAATCTCTACCACACTCATAAATGTGGCATATAACCAGGGAATTCAGTTTGAAACACATAACTCAAATTAACAGTTAATGAGTATTTGAAAAACAAACAAAATGTTCATGAAAATAGCAAGCCTGACATCTCAATGCAATAGCCTCTCTATTTTGACTTCGGTTTCTGCTCATAACTCATGTTGCCATCAAGATTAATTATACTCATGGACCAAATAAAGTTCTTACCTTGTTGTCAGTATGAAGGTGAATTATGTGGGCTTTTTATTGTCTAGCTGGTAATATCTATAGTAGCCAATGAAAGAGCAAACATCATGCATGGAATTTACTGCTGGTGGTCATTTTTATCACATTCTCACTCAGTACTCTGTCCTCTGATTTAGCTCCAAGCTTATGAACCAAATGCAAAATCCACTCTAAAAGAAAAAAGAAATCCCTTGCTAGATATCCCTCCAAACGGTTTCTTTTAAGGTGTTACTGTTTCACATAGAGAAAACTGGCACTTGGCTAGCAGCCAATGGGGCAACACACTCCGTACTTTTCTGCAGGTGTGGGAGGTTAGGGTAAAGTGAAAATAGGAAAGGGAGCCCGTGGGGAAAGTGAAGGAGCAGCTGGGGCTGGCGCTCCTGGAAACTGTCCAGGGATGGAATATCATCAAAAATCTGCCCAAGGTTTCTGTTAAAATCAGGTCTTCAAAAGCTCATAATTAAAGTAGTACCCATCTACCTGCCTGCTTCTCAGTATATGAATGTATGACTTGACTTTAAATACTAGGTTATGCACATGATTAAACAGGAATAGCGTACATCAAGTATCTGATAAAATATTAGCCTTGGATGTTTTTTAATGCAGATGTTACTAGCCTAGGTTGAGCTTGGTTTTCCTAGTTATAACATGCAGGGGGTTTTTTTTCTTTTGTTTTGTTTTGGTTTTTTTTTTTGCAAATGGTTACATATCCATCATCGTTCTTTATTTTCCACTTGTATAGGTAACTGAGATCCATAGTGCAAACCCTAAAATCCATGAATGTATGAAAAAATAAAGACTTTTAATAAAAATTCAACCAAGCACCTTCTTTTCCTATTAGTTCAGTATAGTGTTCAGTGACTTTTCCCACCACAAAGCTTTCACTGATTATTGAGAAATATCCTGTTGAGAAATAAGGTATCTGACTTTATTTTCAAACTTTCCAACAATATTTACGAGGTCTATCCACAAAAAGTCCAGCCATTGTTAATATACTGAAAACAGTTTGTGTGCCATAGATGTAACCTGGTATCCAAGGGGAGTGGACTGGAATGTGCATACATGAACAATGATGACTTCACTGTACTAGTCAGTGGGGGCAGTAGATGCCATTGAGTGAGCATGTGTACTGTTTGGCCATTGTGTTCAAAATGATTGAATGAGTAGAGCAACAAATCTGTACCAAATTTTGCGTTAAGCTTGAACATCCCCCCATGGAAACTATTCGGATAATTCAGAAGGCCACAGCTATGGGCAACTGGTGATTGGCAACTTCATCATGACAATGTGCCTGCTCATGCATCATGTCTTGTGCAGAGTTTTTTGGTGAAACATCAAATCACCCAGGTGACTCAGCCCTGCCACAGCCCAGATTTGGCTCCCTGCGACTTCTAGTTTTCCCCAAAACTAAAATCACCTTTGAAGTGGAAGAGATTTCAGACTGTCAAAAAGATTCAGGAAAACACTGTGGGGAAGCTGATGGCAATCGGGAGAACTGTGTGAGGACCCAAGGTGCCTGCTCTGAAGGGGACTGAGACATCATTTTCCCATAGACAGTGTTTATTGTATTTTCTTCAATAAATGTCTCCATTTTTCATATTATATGGCTGACACCTTCTGGACAGACCTCGTATCATTTCCTATCCCATAGTTTTCCTAAAAAAAAGAAAATCACTTTCTGCAACATATTTAAGTTACTTAATGAATTTTTATTTTCTCCATTATTTGACTGGACAACGTTTTAGATTCATTGTATTTCCCACAGCACAGAGACTTACTTAACAGCTTTCAAAATAATGTTTATGGACTACTGTGATTATACACAATTACTACATGTTCATTGTTCAACATTTTGAAAATACAGAAAAGTTTAAAAGATAAACAATGCCTATTCACCCTTCAATGGGAAAAAGCACTGCCGCATTTTGGCTCTTTTGGCCCCTTTCCTATGTAGGTAGATCTGTGTTTTTTAAACATAGTTGAGAGCATACTGTAAATACAGTTCCCTACTCTATTTGCCACCCATTTAACAATAATTGATAATCACCTTTCTATAGTTAAAATCTTCATAAATATCCTTTTATATGTCTTTATAACACTGTATCTTTTGACGATACCATAATTTATTTTAAACTGTCCCCCTGTTGTGGGGCATTTAGACTATTGCCAATATCTGACTTTTCTAGCCAAAACCATTTAAAACATTTGTGAACATTAGTTTTTAAAATATTTCTCATGAGTTCCTTTGAATAGATTGCTAGAAGTGGAATTACGGGATCAGGAGGCAGGAGCATTAGCGAGGTTTTTATACACTAAGGCAACAAGTTTTTCAGAAAGGTTATATCATTTGCACACCCCTTATAGCACCTGAGAGTGTCTGCACACTTACTAACGTGGAGAGTTATAATTTTTAAAAATCTAGGTAAATTTGAAAGCTGCAAAAATGGACCTTGCTAGTGCTTCCAATCCATTTCTTTGATTAATGGTAAGAAAATGCATTTTCATATGTCTATTAGTCATTTCATTTTCTCCTCTCTGGACAGCCTGTTCCTGTCTTTTGCCCATTTTTCTATTGCTACGTAACACGTTTTCACAACCTTAGTAGCTTAAAACAACACCCATTTTGTATTTCATAATTCTGAAGGTCTGAGTCTAGGTGGGCTTATCGGCATTCCCTTCTCTGGGTCTCTTTCACAAGGCTGAAATCGAGGTGTTGGCCAAGGGGGGCTCTCAATGACAGACTCAGCAACAGAATCCAGTTCTAAGCTCATCCAGTTTGCTGGCAGACTCCCGTTACCTGTGGCCCTAGGTCTGAGGCTCCAGTTTCCATGCTGGGCCACCTTCGGTAACTCTAGGCCTCCTGCATTTCTCAGGGCAGCCTCTGTTCCTTCTCAAGTGTCCTCTCCATCTTCAAAACAGCAACAGCATGTTCAGTCCTTCTCAGGCTTCAAAGCTCTCTGATTTGCCTGGCCAGAGAAAATGCTCCATATTTATGGGCTCCTGTGATTGCATCAGGCCAACCCAGATAATTTCCCCACCCTAAATTTAACTGTGCTACACAATACACAGATCAAGGGATATTACACCATATTACAGGTTCCAGGGATTAGGGCATGCAATCTTGGTGTAGAGGCATTTTTAGAATTGTGCCTGCCATAGACTCTTAAGTATTATTTTTTAAAATAATTTGTGCCCTTTATGATGTCTCAACTGCATGAGTTTTCCAAATAAATGAACCTTACGGATGACGGCCAGAGTTGCATTTTTCACAATGGCAAAAGCAACTGTGGATGGGGCTGCTGTGTGCTAATAAAGATTCTGAATATATATCTTTATTAATACCGGTACTTTTTAAAAATTTTAATTGTGGGAAAATCATATAATACACGTTATATAAAATTTGCCATCTTAACCATTTTAGAGTGTACAGTTCAGTACCTTTAAGTATATTCACACTGTTGTGCAACCAATCTTTAGAACTCTTCATCCTGCAAAACTGAAACTCTATACTCATTTAACAATTCTCCATTTTGCTCCGCCCCCCAGCTCCTGGCAACCACCATTTTACTTTCAACATTGGTATATTTTTACTTAATGTATTTATTAACAATCACACATACAGCAATTACTACATGCACTGTCTAAGCACTTTAAAATATTAACACATTTAATTCTCATAGCAATCCTATGCAATCAGTACTGTTATTATCCTCATTCTACAGATTAAGAAACATAGTAAGTGAACTGTCCAACATTACAAAACAGGAAATGGCCAAGAAGGAATTCAAACCCAGTCTGGCTTTATAGCTCTTGCTATTAACCATTACATTGTAAAAATATTCATTGTAAAGACAAACTCATCAGGCATTAATAGTATTTCCTTAATGTATACAATTTAAAAGTACTTGTGCAATTTAACTTAATATCCTTCTACTAACTAAAATTGAGATTATGTGACCAAGGTCCCACATGTCTATTGACCTTTTAGCCCAATTATGGTTAAGGCATTTGAAGTTAATGAAACAAAAACTGCCTTGTATTTATTTTAGGTACTCTAATTATAACTTACATCTAGTATCTTATAATAAAATACCTTATGAATGAATACAAATCACAAGTCATTGTGACTACTGAAATTAAAATATTATAGGAAAAACCCCCAGGTGTTTCTCTTTTCCAATGAGGAAAAAAGAAAAGGAGGGGGGAAAAAAACTTCCAAATAAGTTTACAGCACATAGCTCAACCTCAGTTTAAGCTGGGAAATTCAAATATGTCCTGCTTTACAAGCTACAAATCTATATCAGTTTAATTTGTCATTCATTTGTACATCTTAGTAGCCTTATTTCATTTGAGGAGTAGGTCTCAAATTTCCTTCTCCTGAATTTTTTAGCTTAGTAATTCTCTGAGAGAAGACCAAATCATGCTTGTCATCGGTTACAGAGTCATTTACGGTACATTAAAAATGAGGGGAGTCAACAGAAGAACAATAGTTGTTTCTCTAGGCGTCCCAGATTGATGAGAGTTCAAAGCTCCGCTGAGGTTTGGCTTCTTGGACCCAGGGGAGGAAGCGGGGAGGGCGTTGGGGGTACTAAAAACAACGCACAGAAAGAACACTGCTTTCTACTTATATATCTAATTGACAAAAATCACCAGACAAGGCATCATGTAATTTCCCATCACCCATTACCCACTGCATTGTAGTGCAGTCTCCAGAATGAAATAAAAACAGAGCGCGGAAGAAACAGCAGAATCACCGCCACCCTAGGGCGCTTCTCAGATATTTACAACCCTGTCATCCCCCCACCCTTCCCCCAATGGTCAGCCTGGCAGCACAGAAGCAGGTAGATGCTCACCTGGCCCCTGGCTGCTTCTTTCCCTTCACCTGCTGGGCCTGCAGTCTACTCCTGGCTGGGACTGGGCTTCAAGAACCCGCCCGACTCACGATGACAGCCGGTCTGGCCGCGAACCATCCCCGCCCGGCTCCCTGTTTACAAGCGCTTCTCACGGTCCCACTCTTAAACGCTTCCTCCCAGCAGGCCGGGAAGCGAGACCCGCACACACAAGGTTCCAGGCGGTGAAGACACGTCCTCCCTGCCCAAGGACCAACCCGTGAAGCCTGGCCTCCCAGCTGCACCCGCCAGGCCTCCTACCTCTTTGTTTTCTGATACAGTTTTCTCTACATACATTTTGAAAACAATGGCGTGTGCCCCCCAGTCTCCTCATTGCTCCTCCCAGCACCTAAGTGATGTTTGCAGTTGGAAACTTTCACTTGGATCGGTTTTTAGCAGCTCCTTTGTGTAAGAGAATCACTCAGTTAAGTTTTCTGAAAATAGGCCTGTTAGAATCTGAAGATTGCTTCTCCTTTCAGGTTTCGAGTTGCAATGAAAATCAATTTTCACTGTCCGTTCATGTATCAGGTAGAAAGGGGATGGTTTTGAGGGGAGGTCTTTAACCTGCATTCAGATTCTCAACAAAGCAGAAACACTCGTAGGTGACCCAGGTGGTTCTTAGTGAAAGACTCCACCGACACGGACCCACAGTGAGTTTGGCCTCCTTGCAAGAGGATATAATGATCTTTCTGGATGACCTTACTTAAAGTCACTTGCCTTTTTCAACAATATAGCACACATCTTAGCTATTTTCTCAATTTATAATTACACATTTATGTACCTGTTTTCTTGGCTGTTTCACCTCCACTCAGCCTTGCCTATTATATAAACTCCCTGAGGGCAGGAACTATTTCCGTTGTACTCACCACCACATAATAGGCACAAAGCACAATGCCCATTCTATATATGTTTGAATGAATGAAGAAATGAAAGCAAATATATATATAGTCAAAGGAGGCCAGAGAAAGCAGTGTTATAGGAATTGAAAAATCTGATTTCCTCTCCCCCTTAATGATTAATAAGAAAACCTTTAACCATTGAATTTTTGAGAAAATATCTTCTTTGGTTGATGTTCAGAGTTTAAACACAATTAAAAACTGACACTGCAATTTGAGATGCATTTCTGGTTCTGTAAAGATAGTGTCTTCTTTTGCCTCAGGCCTTTTTAGTACTTCCGCTTTCTCTGATGAGAGCTCTCACCCCCTCCACCCCTTTATCTTGGGCAACTTTTCGTTGCTCTTTAAGAAACAAGTGACATCACGCCTCTCCTGGAAACCTCTGACAGAGGAACCTGTTCCTTTCATACACACCCAGAGGAACGCACAGGTTCCTCTTTAAATGCACTCATTGCATTATGCCAAATGCATTTGTATGTTCATCAGTCTTCCTAGACTAGTGATTCTCAAGCCTCAGGGTGTAACAGCATCCTCTAAAACAGTGGTTCTCCAATTTTAATGTGCAGGGATCCTGTTCAAATGCAAATTATAGTTCAGGAGGTCTGTGACTCGGCCTCCACACCTCGAATGAACTAACAGGTGACACCACAGCTCCAGTGCCAATGCCCTTGGATGCTTATTCAAAATGCAAATTCCTGGGTCATTACACACCACAGATTTTTATTTTGTAGGTCAATGATGGATAGGATGTTGAATTCTGTGACTTGAACAAGTGTCTTAAAGTGCTTCCAATATAAGTGATGTTCAACCAAAAACTTTGAGACCAAAAACTGCACTGAAAAAAAAAAAAGTTTATTGAGCCATACGCTAGCCAAATCCTGGGTCATGCAGTCTAAGCCATCAGCAGTGGGTTAGATGGAGAAGACAATGATGTTCACCATCCTGGGGTTGAAAGGGCTCTTTTATACAATGAGTTTGGAGAAGAAAAATGTAAGTTGTTTTGAAAGTATTGATAGCAGCTGTACGTTAGGAGGGCAGAAGAAGGTGAAGAAGGAAAAGGTCTGAAATAGGTGAATAGTCCCTAAGGAAGAGACACTTGTTTCTGGCTTCGTGGTGGGCAGCCCTCCAGGAAGTTCGTTCGGAAACACGATTAAGTAGCATTTGGTGGTGGGCTATTTTTTCTAAGCGATTGCTGAAATAGCTGCCTGGAAGTTAATTCGAAGTTTCAGGAATGCAGGTAGAGTTTTAATTTCAGCCCCAAGCTACTAACTGATTAACTTTCCTTGTTTCTTCCTCTTACCTCATCACAGAATATTTTTCTTTGGGAAAAACTATACCAGTCTATGAATTCTGAGGACCGGGCTCACTCATGCTTGGACATTTTTTTCCCACCATATATTAAGGACAGGGTAAGGCTCATAAAATGCATTAAAAAACCATATTTGCAGAATTACTGAATTTATTCACGATCACTAATCTGGCTCCCCAGCACAGAACCAAGGGAGTGATACCAGAAAAGGAATAAAAAATAAAGGCTGAGGACAGTCTCAGCTGGGCAGCGGTGGGCTCATAGGCCTCCATTTGGTCAGGAGACACTTTGCTTCTCTAAATTTAAAACATTTAAGTTCATGTCTCCATTCCGAAGGCTATCTACTATCAGCAGCCCTACTGTTTGTTTTTTAATACATCTTATTTTGCAGAGAAGTTTTAGATTCACAGCAAAATTGAGCAGAAAGAGGAGTTCCCATTTACTCCCCACCCCCTGCATGCACAACCCCCATCCCCCATTATCAACATCCTGCACCAGGGTGGCACGTTTGTTACAGTTGATGAGCATACACTGACACATCATTATTGCCCCAAATCCATAGGCTCACCTATCTATTTAGACCTGTTAGATCTCACAGTTGGTACCACCAATTAAATCCCTGTTTGCTCAAGGTAGTTTGAGTTGTTTTCCATCACAACTGAATGCATCTTGACTAACATTCCACCTTTCCAGACTTCTATCCCAAATACTGCTTTCCTCCCACTCAATAGTTCAGATTCAAATTCTTACCACTCCTAGTTACTCTTCCTTTCTCATTACCCTGCTTTAGGCCCCTCCATTATATCTCCATCTGCATCCCCTGAAGGGCAGCGCCCTTGTCTTATTCATATTTGTATTTTCCATAACACTTATTATTGTTCCTAGTAAACGATCTCAATAAATGTGCATTACAACAAAATGAAACACCAAATGACATGTAAGAAGATTTCATTAAGTTCTCTTCTTTTTAGCCTTCATTTACTAAAGTAATGGTCAAGCCAGGATTCAATAAAGCAATGCTGTCTTCCAAGAAATAAAAATCTCATCAAAAAATGTTTTAAACTTAATCAGGAGAATGTTGGTGCTCTTTAGAGTTTAACATTTACAAGCCAAGTATACCTCGCTTCATCTCCCCAAATACTCCCAAGAAAATGTGATTCAGCTATTCATTGAGAGCAATGCAATATAATTTGTTTGTTCTTGGATAAATTAAAAGCATTTGAGATGGAAAATGCTAAAGTCGTAAGTGGAGGCACTTGAAATAACAAAATGAGCCTGCTATTCAGCTTGTAGATACCCACAAGGCCATACCCATTGCTAAAATATTAAAATAGTTCACTACAGTTTTGTAACTAGCTTCTGTTCCAAGCTTCCTAAGTGTCTTAGTTCTCTTCCAAAGGAATCCCCACTCCATCCATCCTAATATCCAGCACCCAAAGGTTTAATACCTGACCCTATTTTGCTGGGAGGGTACCTACAGAACTTTGTTCTTTCATTAGGACCAGGATTCTACATGATTAGTTGATAGTCAAGCCATACATGCTTTTAAGTCTTGATTATCACTCTTACACTGAGTGAAAAGCCTTTAGCAAAGCAAAATATTCAATGATTTCCCACTCTACCACCACATACTATGCCTTTTTGAACCAGAAAGATCAATAATAAGTGAGAGAATCTTGCAGAAAAACTTATTTGATTGAATGATCTGTGGTGCATTTTAGTCATTCAACAAGCAGGTACTACAGGAATTTACAGTCCTCTATTTATGGGGTTGATGGCTTACATTTTGGTTAGTACTAACCAGGGGCCTCTAGTAAGAGCATACCTATTAAGAGAATGTTCAGGAAGTTAAAACCTTACACAAGGAAAATGGTCTCAGCCTTGATGTGGGAGGAAACCTTTTTGAATGTTATATTCTCAACGTCTTTCTGGGAAAAATCCTAGCATTCCTGATAAAATTCCTCAGCAATCTGCAAAGTTTAGATAAACTTTAACAGCATTAAGAATTCTTGCAGGCTGAGTTCCTGGGGAAGCAGACTCTCCGAGAGAGGTCAGCACGCAGGGAGAGCGTGGGATCAGCACGTGTGCGGGGGAAAAGGCAAGAGCAGAGGTGGGTAAAGGGCACAACAAGAGGATCCGCCAACACTATGTTAAGAAACAAAGTTCAACTGAGTAAATTTTAAAGACTTTATTGGCCGTAGTCAGCGATTCATGAATTGGGCAGCATCCCATCTAGCAGATAGAAAGGAACTCTGAGGAGCTGTACAATATGAACGTCTTTTATAGGCATAAGGGATCGGGAACAAAGAAAAAGCAGATTGGTTACAGCAAGTCACTTCCCTTCAGGGGTGGCAGGGGTCTCTCAGGCAGATTATGTCACTAGTGCTCACTAGGTAACTTCCGATGGATTGCTCTAAGATTCCATTCCTAGGAATGCCGAATCCTTAGTTAAGCATTAAGTCCTGATTTGGAGATGGGGAGATTAGCATCAATGATGCCACTTGGGGCTTGTTGTCTTGTTTTTAATACCTGAGAAGGCCTCAGTGACAGAGGGGCCCTTTAGAGGCTTCAGAGGAGTCCTGAACGGAGCCAAGAATATAGGGTGCTGGCAAACTGACTCTGAAAAACCAGAGTGGTTCTCCAGTTTCCATGGTGTAAATACCAGGTCAGCCTTATTTTAAGCTCTGGATGTTGTGTCACTGAACACGGAACTGGAGATGTGCACAACTGGGCCTCAAGAGTCAGCAGAAGCCTGCTCCGCACAACACTGACCCAAGTGGCAGGCCTTTACACACCCACGTCCATCAGCCAATGGCTGTGGGCCACGCTGGGAGGAGGCATGGCCAGGGGCAAGGCAGCTCTCTGCCCCTGATACAACCCCCGGAGGGGCTGGCCACTGAAAGCAATCCCCTGACAGTACT